TAGATCTTGGCAATGTAGGGTGAAATGACAGGTGGTCCTGCCTTTTTTCCTGGAGAGGGTGGGTCCATTGGTCCAGATAGACAGGGTATAAATCAAATAAATCCCCTGGAGAGGGTGTGTTGCTTCACGGCCACGGAGGGCTCCCGTGCAGAAGTCATCTGACTTTGGCGGCTGATGGTCTGAGGGGATGGTGTTTGTTCTCTGTGAACCTTGCCTAGCGTGGCGAACCTGTGTTATACTCGTGATTGCAATCAACACCGTGTCTTTGAGTGCTGGAAACCATCTGGAACGAGTCTTGCTGTCCAAGGTGTAAGGCAACCTGGTGGCGACACAAAAATTATTTAGGACCCCCCCCCAAGGCAAATCTTTTTCCAGTTGTTTGACATCCCAGTATCTTAAGTTTGGCATCGTAGCCCTAGGAGGTCTTCGCTCCACCATCCTGCTGATCGTCCCATCTTTCCAGAGGTCTGGGGCACTTGATTTAGAATTAGGGAGCCACAGAGCAGACATTGCTCCTGCAATTCTTTTAAATGCTTGGTTGCGGACTTTCATGCCTTCACCCATGTTAGTGCCCCGAGTGCAGGATACTTGATCCAAGAGAACCTTTTTTGCCATTGGAGGGAGGAATCTTTTAGTCCAGGACACTTGCTTGCTTTTTCTTCCTGAAACTCCTACTTTCTTCTGTGTTTCTGCTTTCCACCCATAAGATGCAATAAGTGAGCAGTCTTGAGTGCGCACCCTTTTCAGCCGTGACGTCTGCTTGTGTGACCACTCGGTGTATGGAACAAGAATCATGTTTCAGTAGGAAATGGTGTTATTCCTGCCGTCTTTGTAATGTCTGGGATCTGTAACTTAATATCTAACAAGCTGCTGCTACACTGACAACGTTATTGTTATGACTAAAATGTTTGCAGAGATTAGAGTACAGTAATAATGGTCTGCACCATTAAGCCTTTGATGCCCTCGGATTCTGTCACCCTAAAATCCTGAAAGGTAGACTGTTGTGAAGTCAAAATATTATACAAACGGAAAGGGTGTAGGACGTATGAATGTCATGTCATGTTTACACACAAACACATTCAGCTATCAGGATTGTTATGTTTGTATGACCTTCCTCGGCTGGAGAGCTGGCTGATTGTTTTGGAATGACTATAACAAACTATTGTTCGAGCCTCTGTTTTGGAAAGCAATTTCATTTTCAGGGCTACTTTTTCTATACACTCCTCATTTTATACACTCAACATTTCAAGCCTTGACATCCCAACCCCAACAGGTGAACCTGGGGATGCGATGCACTTAAATCTTCTCTGTTGTGAAACAGTTGCCATGTCTTGCATCTTTTTTTTTTGCTCTGTACAGTTATCTGTGTTGATCTATCTGTGAATTTCTGGTCCTTCATCTGGTGAAGATCTGGATGTGTTGCTTCAACCCGAAAAGGAATAGAGAGGAGGGGAAAAAAAACACTTACAAAACAAGGCAGAAAAAAAACCTGCTCTTTTTTTTCTGTAGAGAAGAGGAAAGTGTGTGTCATGCCTAGGGTATTCAAAGAACAACCTTTATTAAAAAAAAACTTTGCTGGCTTTTTATTGGCACAGTGGCGAGGCTTTCAAAAACCAAAACCTGAACTCAAGAAGTTCCTTTGAAATATTTCTTTCCAAACAAATAGTTGGGGAGAAATGTTTTCCATGTGGTTTTGATATGAAATGCCCTTAAAGTCCTTTGAATTCCAGTGGCACCATAGTTCAAAGAAAAAGAAGGAAGTGATTTTCTCTTCCTTTGACTTTGGTGCCAATCTGCAAAGGAGCAAATTGTATTGGCCTGCTTTCCGGAGCAAACAGAATTAAGTCTGGGAGTCTTCTCTGAACCACTGTTTTGTTTCCAGGTTCAAGCGTGCCAGCCTGCGTGCCCTGCTCTGTCCTGGAAGGAAGGAAGGGGATGCAGCAATGTGGGCAAAGAGGTGGGAGCTTTTGGGGTGGACTTGCCATCCAGTAAGCAACCACGTCGGGTAGAACAAAGGTCCCTTCATAAGCTGCTTTCCACGTCACTTGCTTTCTCAGATGACCTGGTGTTCCTTCAAAACATCATCCCCTCCTTGCTGGTTGTGAGGAGATCTGTTCCACACACACACACACACCGCTCTTAGCCCTGTCTCAAGGTGTGTCTTGTGTGAGAAGAATGCAGAAGGGTGTCTGGAGGCAGGAGTTGTGGCTTCAGCCTCTCTCCTCCCTGCCTGTTTTGGCAAAGAGGGCTGGATCTGGGGTTTTGGGAGAAAAAGCAAAGGGAGCAGCTGTGGATTATCAAAGTGGCCACTTCTAACTTGAGAGGGTCCTCCTGTTCCCTACACACACCCCTGCCCCAAATTCAGGAAACGGTGAAACTGAACCCCAGTGGATTGAGTTGCAACCCACGCAGAGGCAAGTTTAGGGGGGTGGGGTGGCGTGTTGGCTTAACCCTGCCTATCCTTTGACAAATGGACCCTGTTGAATATTTCCTGATCCACTCAGTTCATTTCCTGTAATCATACCGGGGTGGGGGATTGGGGAGGGGGGGACGGTGTCCAGTTTATCTTGGATGGTCGGGGGTGCCTTCCCCCTCCATTCTGCCACCATCAATCTTGGAACCTCGGAGAGGAATTTGGGCATCCACCAGGAACACCCATCTCTAGGACTATCCCTGCGGCTGGTGTGTAAGGTACTGGTCTGGAGCAAAAAAGGTGAGATCAGGAATGTGTGAAGAGTGTTCCAACCCGGGATGTTCTGTGCTGAGTGGGGAGGGCGGAGGTCCTTCGTAGGAGAAGGAATAAGCGGGTGTCAAGGTTGGCCAGGCTCTGTATGCGTCAAATAGGAGAAATGGGAAACCAGGGAGGAGGAGGGAGTGGCTGGCCGTTAAATTTCGAACCCAGCCCTGTTCCAGTTTAGAAGTAAACATTTGTGTCACCTTTTGGGTTAAGGGAATGCCAGGGATCATAGATTTAAAAGGATCTAAGATACAGGGGAGCTTTTAATAGGAAAGGAATTGGGGTTGGCTGGGTGGGAGTAGGGTTCCCCCAGTTTCTGCTATTTCCCCCCCCCCCAGAGGATGGTGTGTGGTTGGGGGAAAGGCAGTGGCTGCCACCACTAATGTATTCCTGGAAGGCGAAGCTTGTTTGTGGACCCATGTAGGGCACCGCGAGGAACCCTAAGGGAATCTTAAAGCCTGCCAGCCAGTTAGAGGCGGTGGGTGGGTGTGTATGTGTGTGTCTCTCTGTCTCTCTCCTGGAGCTAGCCTTGCTGGGAATACACTGGGGTCCCTGTCAGGTCTGCCCCCCCCCCATCAGAATAGAGACTGCTCCATTTTTGGATCCCTTGTCCAGCTGGCTTCGTTGCTCACATGTCTCTGTTGGGTTGTCAGGTTGGCTTTAGGTCTTTCCCTGAAGCATTAAGCGCACCTCCCTGGGTTACCGGCTCACCTAGGACGGTGCCGGCCGCTGGGGTGGGCAAAACAGCTCCATGGGTCCCCGTCTCAAGATCTCTCTCTCTTTTTCACAGCGGTGTGAATTTGGCTTGTTTCAAGTTTGGAGGCTAGCTTGAGCTGGCTTATTTTTTTCCAAAGAGAGGACGCACCGGGCCTGCCAGGGGCTGATTGGGGCTCCTCCTTAATGCTCCCCTTTCCCTCCTGCCTTCCAGTACATGTTTTTTTAGCTTGATGCTTGGAGGACTAGTTCTTGCCTTGCGGAGATGGAGTGGTAGAAGAAGGGAGAGGGGGTGCTTTGAATAAATAGCAAATGCTTTGCTTTCTGTTTGCCTTCCGCTTGTATTCTTTTCCAAAGAAATTGGCCAAGCAGATGGCCCCCCTGGAGAAAACCACTGCCGCCGACTTTGCAGTGATCCTTGTACAGAACTTGGCTTTTGATGGTTTGACGGGAACAGGCTGGATGAAGAGAAACTAAAAATAGGCAGATCAATAACTATAGCATGATTCTGTCTCTCTTTCTCTGTCTCTGTCTCTCTCTGTGACTTCTTCACAACAGGCAGGATGTTCTGGCAGCCCTCTTTTAAGCCCAGGTGAGGGCCACCTTTGGTCACAGGTGAAGGGCACAGGGTGCCGGCACAAGGACCGAGGCAGTTTCGAAAACTGGTCCAGAGCACCACCATAATGTGCGGCATGGTGAGGACTCTGCCTGGAGACCCAAAGTCATAAGCAGTTCCTGGGGGTGTTCGTAAAATGCATGCAACTGCCTTGCAGAATGCATGGTAGGCTTCATGGCCAAGCCGACTTCTTCACAACAGGCAGGATGTACTGGCGGCCCTCTTCTAAGCCCAGGTGAGGGCCACCTTTGGTCACAGGTGAAGGGCACAGGGTGCCGGCACAAGGACCGAGGCAGTTTCGAAAACTGGTCCAGAGCACCACCATGCCCATAATGTGCGGCACGGTGAGGACTCTGCCTGGAGACCCAAAGTCATAAGCAGTTCCTGGGGGTGTTCGTAAAATGCATGCAACTGCCTTGCAGAATGCATGGTAGGCTTCATGGCCAAGCCTCGCCTCTCTGCTGTAGTCTGACCGGGTGGGGGGGGGTTCTTGTGACCGTTTTCCATGGTGGTTGGTTATGGGTGGTGGGTGGGAGACCTCAGAGTTTCAAGAGGAACCGAGCCAGTTTGCCTGTAGCAAAGTATTCGAAGACAAGATTTGGAGTTTAAAGGACACTAAGAGATCCGTAGGTTTGTCTGGTGATCTGCCAGATCCCTGCTTGCCGTTGGGTCTGAGTGAGCCCACTGGCCAGGAGTTTCAAGAACAAGATTTGGAGTTTAAAGGGCACAAGAGATCCATAGGTTTGTCTGGTGGTCTGCTGGATCCCTGCTTGCCGTTGGGTCCGAGTGAGCCCACTGGCCAGGAGTTTCAAGAGAAGTGGTGAAGGGTTTAAAACCCTGCCAGGTGCTTGTGGTTTTCAAGCAAAAAATGTAGCAGATTGAAGGCGCCGCTTCCTCTTGCTTTCTGCCACTTCTCTCCTGATCGGGCTCCAGGAAGAGGAAGGACGGCTGGGCTGGGGAGGACAGATGCTGACGGAGGACCACTTGTACCAGGATGGAGAACTGAGCGCCTCTGGCTCTTTCTGCAGCCGCTGCAGGAACGTGGCCCAGCAGGATTTGCACAGAGGGCCTATGGTTGGAGTGGGTGGGTTCTGAGCTGCCCCAGCCCGCTTGGGTCGCGCGTTGGGCCCTCCCAGAGGCTTCCTCGTTGCTTGGGACTTAAAGCAAGCATGGTGGCCTCTGTTTGCTCTCTGCCTCTGGATGCTTCGGTGCTGGCCGGCCACCCCTCTGTTTCTGGCTCCCTTCTCCCTGGTTTGTCTTGACAGGAAGGGGAGCTCGGGTGGGAGAAGACCACTGGAAGGCCTTCCGTGACACAGGCTGGCCAGCCAAGGTTGTGTGTCCTCTGTTCTCCCCTGTTAACTTGCACACTAAATAGGCAGGAAGAGGTGGCAGAGGGTGGTTTGGGGAGCAGAAAAGGCCAGGGCTTTGTCGTAGGCAAAGGCTCCTCTGCTCTTTCCAGAGGTAGGGCACCCTCTGATCCCAACAGGCCCTTGACTTTGGCATCAGTTTCTCGGCCACCTTGGCGTGGCCCACTTTCCTTCCTACTCCGAGGGCTGGTGAGCCCTGTTCCTCCCCGGCTGTGATCTAAGGTCCTTCGGTTTCGAGAGCGAGCAGATGTGCTGAGATGTGCAGCTGCTTGGCATTTCAAATAAAGGATGTCGGGAGGCTGGCGGCTCTTTGCTGTGGAATGGCTCCAGCGGATGGCAGCGCTTGCTTCTTTTTGTCCTCTGAACCACGGAGGGCAGGGCCTAGGGGCAGAGGGCACTTCCCTCCCTTGGCTGCAGATTCTGCTTTTTTTCTCTTTTTTCGGGGGAAAAAGTGGGTCAGTTGTGTATTTGCTGGACTAAACAAGCTGCTCCATCTCCCCTTGTGCATTAAAATGCTTGACGGCAGAGAGCCCGTGGGGTAGACCTGTCTTTTTTGTCCTGTTCCCTCGTACCTGACGTGCCTTGACTTTCTCTTCCGCTTGCTTTCCTCATCCTTGACCATTTCTCTGGGTCAGAAAAGCCGAGCCTTTCATGTTCTGCCTTCGCCCCGTTATGTATACAGTGGTGCCCCGCTTCACGATTACCCTGTTTGCCGATGAAATCGCTCGACGATGAGGTTTTTGCGATCGCTATAGTGATTGCAAAATGATGATTCAATGGTTTTTTTTCATTTTATGACGATGGGTTCCCTGCTTTGGGAACCAGTTTTTCACATTACGATGATTAAAAACAGCTGATCGTCGGGTTTTTCAAAATGGCTCCCCGCTGTTTTCTGTACCTATTTCTGGAAGACAGCGATGCAAAATGGCTTCCCCTATGGAGGATATTCGCTGGACGAGCAGGTATTTCCCCCATTGGAATGCATTGACTGGTTTTCAATGAATTTCAGTGGGGTTTTTACTTTCGCTTGACAACGATTTTGCTTAACAGCGATATTTAATGGAACACATTGTCGTCAAGCAGGGCACCACTGTACGTCTCCTCTCTGGTGACTTCTTTATTTTAACTTAGCAGTGCTGGATTTGACTCTGTCTGTAACTTGGTAGTGTTCTCGGTTGTTTTTCTCCTGGTCTCCTGCAGTTCCTCTGAAGAGCTTAGAGCATCTTAGATGCTGCTGCCAAACATGAGGTTGGGGTGTGTCTTGCTGAGCCACCATCCCACTGCAGGTGGTGCCTTCAGAAGGTTTTCTCTCTCTCTTTTTGGAGTGGCTTGGATAAATCGCACAGCCCGGAGGAGAGGCTTCCCGGTTGGCCTTCCACAGGCAGGCGAAGACCTTGGCCTTCAAGCAAACTTTATTTTAAAGTGACTGGCTTGCCTGAGTGGGGTTTAAAAGGAATGGCTGTGCCCCACCGCTTTGAATGTGGTTTTCATGTTGGCTTTGTTGACTGTTTTTAAGTGTAGTTTTGGAAGAGGTAAGTGGTGTTAGTCTCTGCAAGCATATCAGGCAAAAAAAAGAAAAGTATTTTTGCAACAGGACTGTAAAACAAACATAGGGCTAATTATTGCATGTAACCCATGAACATTTAGAACGTGAAACTGATATTTCATATACATTTCATTTCATTCTGTCTCTTGATGTCTGATAAAGTGGACGTGACCCCCCAAAAGCTTACATTAAAATATAATGGTTAGTCTTTAAGACGCCACATTTCTTTGTCTTTTGTTTTAATTTGTGTCTTTGGATTTTGCCTGATTTTTTTTTTAAGCACATTTCTTTGTCTTTTGTTTTAATTCGTGTCTTCGGATTTTGCCTGATTTTATTTGTTAGCATTTGTTTTGATCCTTTTTAGTATTTGTAGCCTGACTGTTTCTAGCTTTAAATATGGTCTTTAAATAATTGAGGAGAGCTGCCTTGGGCCCTTTTAAAGGAGAAGAAGAGAAAGGGTAAACATATTTTAAATCAATGCTCATGAGATGGGGAGGATGTTTTCAAGGGGGGGGGCCTTCCCCTTTAGGGCTGGAGCCAGGCCGCCTTGCCTGTTCAGCTCTGCAGGTACTTTGTGCACCATGGAAGAGGGGGGGGAAGAGGCAGTTTTTCCCTGGTGAAATGAGCTTCCGGTGTGATGCTTTTTTGAACAAGGCTGTGCGGCAGAGGGCGGAGCTGGCACCAGGCCCACTTGGGATTTCACCGGGATGGAAATGGCTCGCCCACCCCTTTGGCAGAGGCTCCGTCGTAGCTCTCGGCTCTAGTACTGGGTGGCTTTCACAGTTTGTTCCCGTTCGCCGCATGTTGGAGCTTCCAGCTATATAATTTCTTCTTCCTTCGTTAAAATGCATGCGGCGAAGGGTGCCGAGGAAGCACCCCCAGTCTTGAGTTTGAATAATGGCGCTGGAATTGGCTGATAACCTTCTCTGACAATAATACACATCCAGCCTACCTCTTAGCTAGCTCCAAAGGGGCTTGGGTGCAGGTTTCTGGATTGTCCCGTTCCCTCCCCGGCAGCCACGCTGCTGGCCTCCTGCGGGATGCACAGAATGCTTCCGGCTGTGGATGGCGCACAGACGCTTGCTGTCATTTGTGGCATGTTTTCTTCTCCCGCTGAAGCGCTCCTTAGCCTTTCATTGAGTGGAACCCGGTGGAGTCTTGGCCCGGGTCTCTCTCACGAGGCTCCTGGAAGTGGCCCCAAGAAACAACAGTCAGCTTCGCCCTCCTCCCTGACGTTGTGTTTCTGTGGCTCAGGAGAAACAGGGGTAGAAGAAAACTTTTTTGGCGTGCCTGCTCAGGACAGGGGCCTGTGCCATCTCCAGCCGTTGGAGGCCAGCATTCAGGCTGAGCCTAGAAGCGCAGGTCTTCCCACGCGGGGGTCTGGATGGAATCTGTCATCAGCCCTTGGCCCAAGATGTGGGTCCCCTGGATGCCTGCATGGGTCCAATAAGTTGCTCCACAGAATCAGCCTGGCGGTCAGTGTGTCCAACCATCATGGCTGTTTGTGTGGCTCAAGAGCCCTGGCTGGAAGCCCCTCTCCCTCTTTCCAAGACCCGCTACTTTCCCTTTGCTTGCCTCTGGTGCCTTTGTACAGTATTTGCAAACAGCCCCCTCTCCCACTCCCCCTGCTTCTGATCTCAGCTTGCCACTTCAGAGGGTGTGTGTGTGTGTGTCTTTTTAAAGACCTGTGTCCAGTTGACCATCCTGGTGGGCAGGGGGAGGCAGTGCCCATGCATTTTATTCCATTGACGATGCCCCCTCCCCGGGTCCTGGCTTGCTCCCTCTGGCCATAGGCAGACGGAAAGCAGCTTTCTTTTCCTCCAAATGGCGTTTCCAAAGAAGCTAAAATTGACGCTGGGGAAGCCACACCTTTTCCTCCCTTCTGTGAGTGAAGGAGCATGTGTGGAGTGCCAGCGCACGCTTCCCAGAAATTCTGGCACTTGAGCCGGGGCTCTGTGGCTGAGAAGTGAACCTTCCATCTCAGGGGTGGGGGTGGGGGCAAGCCTTTATGCCTAAGCCGCGGGGTGCCTGCAGCACAGGCTGCTTCTTGCCACTGTCTGGCCAGCGTTGCCCACCCTGGCACCCACCACCACCCCACCTTCAATGCCCAGGGCTGGATGGAGGGTGCCATGCTGGAGAAAGGTAGCGAGAGCCAGGGTGGGTGGTTTACTGCCTTGGCTCCCCAATCCCACTCCACCCTGCCGGAGCTCTAGCCTCAGGCTTTCTGCCCCACCCCGGGCAGATAATAAGGGGGGGGTGCAGGGCTCTGAGGGCCAGCCCAGCCCTCGATGCGGGTGGGGACGAGAAGGGCAGAGCCGTGGGTCCGCCCAAAGGAGCCGGCAGCTAGAGATACAGTATACGCTTGGCTGCCCTCCGGTTTTGCACGATCCCCCAAACGCCAAGAGCAGCGGCGCGCCCGGTGGGTGGAGAGGAAGGCGAGACCGGGGGTGGGGGTGGCCTCTGGACCCTCGGGCCCCTCCGTGCCCCCCCCTTCCCCGTTCAAGGCCAGGCTCCTCTCCCTCCCTCCCTCTCCTCCTTTCGGGTCGCTCGCCCTCGGATCGAGGCCGGGAGGAGCGAAGGCAGCCAGAAGCCCCGCCGCGCGGGGCCTTTTGTGCCGCCCCGGGCGAGCCTCTCTCGGTGCTGGGGAAGCCCTCCTCCTCCCCCTCCTCCTCCTCCCGCCGGGGCGGCTGCCCTTCCAAGGGGCGGGAAGGAGGA